AAAAAAAAAAAAAAAAAAAAAAATCTAGTGTCGTTTAATTGGAGCATATGCTGCTTAGAACCGATCGGATGCTACAATTCTTCTTCGACTCAACCTACAAAAACTGATAAAATGGAAAACTTTAGAAAGTGCTACATAACTGCATGTGCTTCTAATTATTACTATTATTTTTCTGAAGATATTGTCTGCTAATAGTATGATCAAATGATCATATCTAAAAGTATTGTAAATTGTTTATTTATATATTAAGCTCCCGTTTGGCACCCATTTTTTTCTCATTCTTCATTTCAACCACACATTCTATCAATAAAATAATATTACACATAAACTTAAAAATTCTCCTTACTTTTTAACTACATATTCTTCCATCAATCACTATTCAAAAATACATTTTTTCACAAAAATGGGTGTCAAACACCCCTAACTAAACATCCAAGTGAGTCCAGAAATTGTTGTCCTTTTCATTACATTTTTTGATACTTGGGCACATCGTTTCTTCTTAGCAAACAAGAAGCCGTCAACGCGTTTTCTGACACATTGTTACATTACTAAGAAGATGTGATTCGTCAAGGTATCAATAATATATTAGGAAGATGGCAAGTTCAGAATCACAAATCACAAACTTGTGATGTGAGTATTGTTTCAATTGGACTTGCAATCATAAAGATGGGAATAGATTTTATTTTATTTCCTTATCCAAATTGATCGAAAGTTTGGTCATCTAATCTCATAAACAAGAAGATCGTATTTTAGACGCTTTTTGAAGCGTGTTTGGTAAGTAATATTGGATAAAACTAAAAAGTAACTTATTTTTCTCTTTATAGTATTGTATAAACTTATTCACCGAACATACCATGAAAATAAGAAGTCGGAGATCATGAACTTGTGGGCTGCAATTTGACCTTAATAAAAATGAATTTAATGCATTTCTACTATTTTTTCTTGTGAAGACACACGTTTAACATTACTTAATAATCGAGTAAATCCAAGTGTACTCAATTAGTTCGATCTTAGGGTTAAAATGGTCGAGTTTAGTACTCAACCATGTTTACCTATTTGTCAAGTTGCCCGAGTATAGTTTGGGAACAACCTTTTATTCATGTAAAAATCTGTTCGACTTGACGATTGCTCGAACTTATATTAATTTTTAAAATTATTTTTTGTTTAAATTATTGATCCAACAATAACTCATCGGTGAACTAATGGAGAAGTCTATGCGATCGTTAAATCTATAACACGTGATCTGGCAGTCAGTGAAGAAGGTGAGTGACTTGATTGAGAAAAAAATAAAATTAGCAGACTCAATTGAAAATTTTGTATAAGTCTAGTGACTATAAAACCACTTCTAATAAGGAAATGCTATTGGTAGGGCTGTCCGTGGGTCGATTCGGGTTCGGTTCTGAAAATACTCGAACCGACCCAAAACTTTCGGGTATTTAATAAATGGAACCGTCGAGTTCAAATATAATTATGGAACCGTTCGGGTTCGGTTCCGTACCATAATTAATTTTTTTAATATTTACAGCAACACTACATAAATACAACTAATGACATTTCATTTGTAATTTTTACAAATTAACGTAGCCCAATTCAAAAATATATAAATAACTAGCCGTCTAATAAAATTAATTCAATGCATACAAATACCAAAAAGTAGATATTAATATTACAGTAACACTACATAAAGTATATTCGTTTGCTTCAAATTAAAATGGGCTAATGAATTTTAAAAATGATTTGGTCTTTAAAATAAAATTATGAAATAATCTGATTTATTTAAAAAATTTGATAATTTGTTTAAAAAAAATAAAATAATTTAATTAATTCAATATAAAAAATTAAAAAATTATTTAGTTTTGGTTCTTATTCGATTCTTCGATTTTTGGTCTAGACCCGAGACCCGACTTAAACTCATTGGTTCTCGATTCGGGTACCCGTTCGGATATTTAATTTATGAATAACAGCTCGATTTGGTTCGATCCGATTTAGTTCAGGACTTTTGAACACCCCAATCTACCGGTGGTATTTCACTCCCCAAACCCCTAATTATTCACGGAAAACCCTAATCGTACAAATTGAGCACCAAGAAATCCTATCAGCAATCGAAAACCACGTTAGTATACAAATTACATACATATACAAGACATTGGAAACTGGCGTTCAGGTCAAAAGAAATGATGAAGAAGATAATGAAGAAAATTGGGGGAGACGAGAATTTAGCGCCTGGAGTGAAAGAGAAACTCAAGAATGTGCGCCTGATAGCAAGGTCGTCATGGGCCGGGCTCATCGTGGGCTTTACGCAGGCCGCCACATTCAGTTCGGCAACAGCGTCAGTGAAGACGGCGGCAACAAGTCAGTATATTATTTGTGTTTTCGGGTTGTGTGTGTTACATACCTACCTATGAGAATACTGTATAATTTGTGGGATTTTTTTTTTTTTTTTAAGTGGCTTGGGAGATGAATAATTATGAGAGTTTGGTGGGTTGGTGAATATACTTTTCAGGGATGGATTATATGTTTTAATTGATTAATTTAATGAGGTATTCTAGAATACTATCATATCATGTCCTATAATGTCTGAAAATGCTCATACTATGTTGGCATTGGGGTCTCGGAATCAGTTGAATGCCTTATTCCTGGCTGCCAAAAGTTAATGTATGAAAATTTGCAGGGAAATCTAGGACTGGATGAGGTAATTAATTCTTTAGTTATATTAGATGATGCGTCTCTTAATACTAAAGAGTGCAAGCTGTTCTTTTTATCATTTTTCCTGTCTCCTAAGAGCTCAACACTGACTTACATACATGAAATAACGTAACGACAGGCGGTGGAAAAAGTCACAGTGGCTTGAAGATCCAATAGTGTAATTATAATAGAACATTGCTTTTAAGAGCTAGGGCGGTGAGACATCCCTATATAATTTGGTGTGGATTCTGAATGCTGCTCTCTTCTTGAGACGATTTTTAAAAAAAAAAATAAAAATAAAATAAAATTGAACATTGGGGATTACGACTTCTTGATTGAATTTTGGAACAACTTGTTTGGTCATTGTTACTTGTTGTCGCTTAGAATGTCACCTTCCTATAAGCTATTGACATTACATTACGGAGCTCTTAAATTTCCATTGAATTATCGAATGCATACAAGAATGAGTGACTAGGCAAAAAGAAAAATCCAACAGAAGACAATATCAAAACAGTGCCCAGTTACTTATAATGGTCCTCATGGATAAGCATTGATGTGTGTGATTTGTTCCCCCCCATCACTCTGTGTGTGTTTAAATAAGTAGAGAAAAAAATACCACCAACCAAATCAATAAAGGAGGAGAAAAGTATTTGCTTGCTATGAAGTATGTATTAGTATGTGAAAGGAAAAATATATAATGTTCCCTTTTGTGCCAATATAGACAAAATAAACTTGAGCCTAAGCCTAGATGCTGGTGCCTTTTATTAGATTCCTTACTGGTCTCAATAATCATTCCATTTGTAGCTTTATTTTGGAATTTGACCACAATGTTTAAAAAGGCATAATTGGCTACCTAGACATTTTTCCTTCACGATGGGCAGCGTAAGCCTCACAGCAAACAAAAAATATTAAAATGCAAAAATAAGTTCATAATATATCATAAACAATCTTTAAGATTCATAATTGAACAATTTAAAGTATGCAAACAAATAAAAGAAAATCTATATAAAAAAATTATTTTAGTTGTTGGGGGCAGTGAACTATATCCAAAGTAGCTTTAATACTTTAGTGGGCAGTGGGCTATTCACAAATGGATCTATCAAAATTTTTTATGTTTTGCAAACCACAAGACTTGAGGTGGTGCTGCGAGGCGTACACATCCAAAAACAGCCTCACTATTAGTTCCTGGAGTCGTTTTTTGTTCACCTTACTACGAGGAGGGCCTTAAGGCGTGTTTTAATTGGTTTTTTAAACAATGTTTGACAACTTAACATGTACTCTTAGCTGTCCTCTTTTGTTTACAAATAAATAGAGCATACACTCTTTTGGGCATAAGTTGTGTATCTTTGGCACAAAATAGCACTTCTTAATTGAAACTAAAGTAATGTCTGTATGGCTTGTACTCTCGATTTATTGATATTTATGTTTGGAAATGGGGAAAATATAAGGATCCAAAGTGTGAGCTCTGCCGGTTTTGACATAATTTATAAGTGCTTACTGTCAAACCGTAGAATTAGATATAAAGTGTGTGCTTATTTAGGAATTGTAGTTAGATTTAACTTTGGTATCCTCAGTTACTGTAAATTAGTACATTGGCTAGTTCGGTTTGAAGTATTTTGTAGTAAATTGTTGTGATTTGACTTGCAATTGTTTTATAGTCAGTGCTTAGTAATGATATGATAATTTATTTTGGCATGGTGGAAAGTTATTTTCTGGTTCCATTATGCATATTCAACTTTCATCCATGAAATAATGAAAGATATTGCACTCTGAATCTTATTAGTTTGATGACAATGATAGGACGAGGAGGAATTGGAAGCCTAATGTGCAGGAGAAACGACTCTTCAGCTACATTCTTGATCGCCACGTTCGTGTTAAGGCAACCACCCATGCTTTCCAGTGCATAGATAAGGCAGGTGGGATTGACGAGTACTTGCTGAAAACTCCGTACTACAAGATGGACACTGAGATGGGCCTCTTCTGGAAAGCAAAAATTGAGAAGATGTATGAAAAACTTGGAGAGATGGAAGTAGTTTTCTTCACACCTGAAGATGAGGATCGTTTAGAAGAGCAATTTAGAGAAATCAAATTAGCTGAGCGAGCAGCATGTAGGGATGCCCGGAGAAAAATGTATGGTTGGTCCGGTAGAAAAGACGGTGTAGCAGATGCTGAAGGAGCACATGAAGAAACTTCTGGCAGCGAAGAAGGAAGCCTGCGTGCTGACATTCATGAGCAGATGGTCGCTAATGCTTGATTATATTCCTCGGCTATTGCAACACTTGCCCGTTGGTCTCGTGTTATAGAGGCTGCCAGATTTTTGTAGCTTGTTCTCTTTTTGATGTTTCCTTTGTAATGTTAGTGCCTATAAATTGCTTGGTTCCTTTTGTATCCAATTTTTTCAAATGATCTTTTTAGCTGGGATTTGAACGTCTGATTTTGACAGGAGTTCAAAACTCAGTTCGATAGGTTGAGGAATTATTTTAGGGCCTGTTTGGTGGGAATTCTCAAAATTCTACAGTAAATCAATTCTTATTTTCAACCACACATTCTTCAATAAAATAATATTTTCCATCACATCAATAATTTTTTCTTCTTTTTCAATCATACATTTCCCATCATATCACTATTCAAAATT